ATACGTACTATACAAACCAGGACAAAGCAAAATTTCGGGGGTCCTAGGAGTTCACGTTGACGATGGACTAGGTGGAGGAGATCAATACTTTGAAGAACAAATCTCAAAGCTAGAAGCCAAATTCCCACTTGGATCAAAGAAAGTAGGTCAATTCACGTTCACTGGTGTTGAGATGAACCAACAGGCAGACAAAAGTATCATCATGTCCCAATCCAAGTATGTAAGCAAGATTGAGCCAATCCACATGAATGCAAGCAGACGAACATGTCTGACGGATGAAGTGACCTCCGAAGAGAGACACTCGCTCCGTGCACTTGTGGGAAGTCTTCAGTACGCGAGCATCAACACGAGACCGGATCTTTCAAGTCGACTAAGCTACATCCAAAGTGAGATCAACAAAGCCACGGTCCAAACGTTGCACGATGCCAACCGTGTACTTCATGAAGCAAAACGATACAAAGACACATGCATCAGAATCCAACCCATCCCAATCAAGGATCTCAGATTCTTGTTATTCTCGGACGCATCATTTGCGTCGGCCAAGAGCCCAGAAAGTCACACAGGCATGATCATCTTGGCCACCCATAGGGATATAAGTGAGAACTATCAATGCCCAGTCAGCCCGTTGTCCTGGGGTTGCCGCAAGATCCAGAAAGTAGTTACGAGTACTTTGTCAGCCGAAACAACTTCGCTCCAAACAAGCTTAGACCAGCTATCTTGGATGAGACTCTATTGGGCATGGATCCAAAATCCCCAAGTCAATTGGAAACGACCACATGAGGTTTTTAAGAGTGAACCCAAACCAATCCAATCTACCACAGCCTTAGCCCAGTGTTTGCCACGATCAGTAGCTGTCACAGATTGCAAATCTTTGTATGATTTGGTTACCCGAACTGCTCAACCAAATTGCCAGGAATTCCGTACACGACTTCAAGCAAAGGCAATAAAAGATTTGCTATCCGAAGGCATTCAATTAAGATGGGTTCATACAGGAGCTCAGCTCGCTGATGCACTAACTAAGGTGATGCAAGGAACTTTCCTCCGATACACTTTGCAACGAGGCATGTATCAACTAAATGACTAACTGCAAGTGCTGAAAGAGCGAGCTGACAGCAGAACACGCCTTAGGTGGCTTGAGTCCGGGATCCCTCTAATGGGAGACCAGCAGCAAGAAGGATGATCGACGCACAACCAAAGAAAAAGATTGATAGAATTTTTGATGAGTGTGAATTTCGAACCTTTCGGTCACTGGGGAACCAGTCTTGACCCACTCAGGTGTGGTCACGTCCGAAGCCACGAGTGTGCGAGGCCGCAAGGGTGGTGTAGGGTGGGTCACCCGTGACCTGAGCCATAGAAGCAGTGAGGACACTGCAGGGCGAGGCGCCCGACCGTTCGTACCAACCTTCAGGTGAGCTGTGAGTGGAAAACGCACGCGGCTGTGCGAGGGGAGGAGGATCTTTTGTTGCTACCTTTGTGTCAATCACAATGTATGTATGTATGTATGACTGTATGTATGTATGTATGTATGTGTATACACTATAATTGCCACCAGGCTAGGTCAGTTGCATTTTGGGTTGTCGTTGGATGGTGACAGCCGTCCTGGTAAGTTGCTGAGGATTGCACAAACTTGATGGTTTGTGTAGGGTGAGCATAATGGGTGGATGCAAGAGGATTTTTAGATGAAATCATTATGTCTCACTTATGCGTGCCTATGTGCAACAGCCGGGATTGATTTGCCACTCTCCGTCCAATCCCTAGGGCCATAGGGCCTCGATGTTTGTAGGAGTTGAGTGGCGCGGTCAATCCGCTCAGGAGAAGCCTGCCACGGCTCGTGCCTAATATGCACGTGGTGGTTCCACTGCTGGTCAAGCCAGCCACAGAAGTACACGATGGAATCTATGGCCTCGCCACACTGGCAAATCTCGAAAGCCCCAAGTCAGTGGCTTGAAGCATTAAACCTCATTGAACCATTGGTTTCATGTGCTATTGAAATCTCTTGAAGTATGTGCCAAGTTGCCCCGTTTTAGGGGAGTTGCACAGAATCAGAGGGAAGAAGTGATGCAGGTGGAGACCTTTGTGTCCCATTGCTGGAGTGAGCCATTTCAAGACTTCGTGGCCACTCTTGAGACGATTCGCTTGAATACCGTCGTATGGGTTTGCAGCTTTGCCATTCCACAGATCCTTGGCAAGAGCTGATGCCGCTCAATTGACATAGGAGCAAGGACACTTCTAGTAGCTCGTGGCCTTACTACTAGTATCAAGAAGCTACTAGGTACTAGGAGTAAGGGCATCGCTACTGGTAACAAAATAGTAACAAGGAGCATATTACAGTAGCATTCTTGCTACTAAAGTAGCAAGGACGCTACTAGGAGCTTTCTTGAACCAGCTCAAGCGGTGAACAAGCATGGAGCTGCACGAGCAGCTCCGAGTGATTTCTAGGAACATGGACATCAGCGAGCAGCTGAAGTCTGAGCCCATGAGCTCCCCTTTCGCCATCGCACTACTGAAAGCTGAGTGCGTCCTCCTGGCAGTGGATGAGACCTTTGAGCCGTTGACCCGCTCATGGTGTGGCTCGGCACAAACTAAACAGGATTTGCCAGGTGGTTCGAAGGTGCTCAGATGTTTGGGAAAAAACAGACTGCTTGAGTGTTTGCCGTGCTTCTTGTGACATGTCACGCCAATAGAACTCGAAAAGAATGCGCATAAAGATGATCGAGGCTGCTATGAGCTCTACTTGGCCATCTCAAAAGGAACTCGGGTGGAAATCCGCGGCGGCACCAACAATAAAGGCTCCTGGCCACAATGAATTTTGGTTCCCAAGGCAGAGTGCCCATCAGAGCCGCACAACGGTTTTCAGCAAGCTGGTATCAATATGTATCAATAGTGTTCAACAGTTCAATATACGATGTGTTTACTTCTATTACTATATATATTATATATATATGAGTATAATTGCATATGTGTATACAGTATATATTTGTATATTAAAAACGTAGGTGGAGCTTGCAAGGGGAAGTGGCATGCCGCTTTGGGAAAAGATGCACTGCTATGACATACGGCGCAAGACAAAATAACCTCAACCAGAACTTGAAGTCAGTGATTTTTCCTTGGACAACACTAGCCGCAACCGATTGCCCCTTTTGCTTCCCACATTCAACTTGGGTGCCCAAACAGGTCTATTTCCTGATCAAACTCAAATGCATTTGACAATAACTGTTAGCTTAAACCAACAAGAAATCTGAGTTGATTTTTGGATTCACAGTTGCTTCCTCAAGACCCGGCCATTTGCCATGCTTTTTCAAATCTCTCCGATCTCCACTCGGTCGTCCAAAAGGCTCACCCTCCACCAAGGCTTCTACGGGAAGCTGGCGGCAGCGAGCCAAACTGTGGACTCTTGGCAGCGAGCGTTTTGGTCCCGTTGGCATGGATTTGTTGCGCAGCAGGGAACCATTGCCTTGCGGTTTTGTTTTTTGGTTTAGCTATCGAGAAGGGAACAATGGGAACAGTCGCAGGTTCATTGAATGAAGTGCACCCAGCATGATGAATGGACAGAAGCAATTTTCTCAAAAGAACAGGCCATATCCATACTTCCGAGAAGGGAGAACCATCCAGATGTGTGGGCAACTTTTGCAATTTCCTTCCCATCATCCTGCAGTTTGTATATGTAACACGACTACAAAGACCGGCGGCTGAAGTTGACGAAGTTGCAGAGGTTGTAAATGTGGCTTTTTGCGTTTGCACGCCGCATGTCAAAAGGGTTACTGTATATAGTAATTACATGCAATTATTAGCATACTAATATAGTATACAATAATATAGTATAACACCGCATAATAACATACATTAGTATATCATACAATTATACAATAGACTACGTACGAAAAAAAATATACTGTGCTTAGTTTGTGGCCCCTCAGCTGGGACTTGAAGGTGTTTTGCTCTAAAATGGAATGGGCATGCATGGGTGTGCATCGGGATAGGCAAACCTTTAAATTAAGACCCCAATCCCCCAACCCTTAGTTGGCAACATGAGCAAAATTCAAGAAAATCGACTACTTTGCTTTGGGAGGTCTCGCGGATTTTCTCCGAATCGGCCAATGCAGGACATTCGTCATTGCCGTGCCACTGACTCCCGGGACCACGCGAAGATCATGGCTGCGTTGAAGGGCTCGGAAGACTTGGTGAACCGGAAGATCCGGGAACGTGTAGAAGATACAGCTCAGTTTGTGAAGGCACTGACTTAATAAGTTTAGTATAGAAGTCACGAGATGTCTTCATGGTTTTTCATGATTTTCGACCGCTCTAGGCAACTTGCCTCGAAGGGCGGGTGGATGTGCACCCCCATTGCAAAGTGTCCAAGACATGGTTTTGAAAACGTGTTGAGAATTTTGAAGGGCCAGCACTGGGCACCCACAAAATGGATCAAAGATTTGCGCCGCTTGTCATCTTTGCATGGCTGCACGGGAGAAAGCTGAGATTAGACCCATGAGTGGTGCTCTCAAGCATTGTACAGCAGTGACTTTTGTGGCTGTCAGTCAGCCGTTGCTTCGTGAATTCGCACGAGCACGACAAGTGCTTTCTGCTTGCACGGCGTGAAGTCGGGAGTGTTCGAAGAATGGGTTTAGCTGGTGACACATGGAAGATGGTGGGGCATGTTTTCGATCCCTGTCACTTATATAGACGATATCAAATCTATGACACAAACATGCGTGTGCGCAGGCATATTCTATCATGTGTTCAGTATTTATGTGCTTGCCTTCCTTGCGGTCTTAGGCAAGGAACTGGAGCTTCGAGCTTGCCAAGCATGAAAACTACACTAACTATAACTATATATACAGCAGGATGATAAAGACCTGCCGCTTTCTACTCGACCCACAAGCCTCCAAACATTCCAAACATGTATTTGTGCAGTATGCTGACAGATGCTTTCTGCATTTTACATTGGTATCCAAATCTAAACTAGCCCAATGTTTATTTTCTGGTGTGTGGCTGGGCTAGAGGCCTGATCTTTGCGCATCAGAGGACATTGAGGTGAACTGAGGGGGATGAAGGATTTGGGCAGAGATTGCACCATTTTTGCCCTGGAGACTACCAATTGGCCATTGTATTTGATATGTCATATGATGGATTTGGGTGGAAGAGGTGGGGCAGGGCCGCGCTTCCAAAGGACGCCTCACACCCAGCCAGACGTGAGTTGCAACGCTTGCTCGGAGGCCAAGGGTGGTTGGCCTGCTGAGTCATTTCAGGTCATAGGAGGATTGCAAACAATCCAGTTTGGATATTTAATCAATATGTAGATCCTTTTGGACATTGCGCATGTTCACGCATGTTCATTTCCTCGGAGCTACATGCCTTTGGCGACAAATTGAGGTTGAAGCGGATTAGTGATCGAGCTGGGTTTCGAGCCAAGTGATGAGAGCCACTGAAAGTCAAGAGCCAAAAGCGAGTCATGGTCCAGTCAGTGGATGCGTTCAGGCAGTGAATTTGAAGCAATTATATAAATGCCTTTGCCAAATGAAAAGATTGAAAAGGAGAATCGGTAATTGTAAGAAAGTAGTACAGCATCTATGAGGCATATATGTATTTCATGTATATACGATGGCTCCACATCAGAAGCAGTTGGAGTGCTCACTGGAGGCTTTCGGACAAAGATGCCGACATAGTCAAGGTGGAGACGATCTTCATAGAGAGGTCCAGAGGGCTGACATGCAAATACAGGAACAGCGGTACCACGTGGTATCCAAATAGAATTGGTTTTCTTCGAGGGGATTTAACGTTCCATCATGTTCCATCTATTTGAGGCTCTAGATTCGTCCAGCATTCTGGGGCTTGCTGCCATTTGCAAAGCCCACCTTAATGTTGAGGACGGTTTCTCGCTTTGATATGAACCCGGGTGTTTTCGAAACCCGAGGACACGTCGTTTCAGGCGTGATAATTCGAGCGCCCCGGCGTTTCATGTCGGTGATGGTTTTGCATCGCCAGGCTCAAGGAGCGCGAAGTGGAACTTCAACGTTTGAAGTATGAGCACCACGACGCGGAGAGGGGGGGTCAAGTTTTGTGTGCTTTAGTAGCAAAGGGCATCGAACAAGGACGCTGGGGCTCCTGGCCTTACTAGGAACAAGGACGCTAAGGGTCCAAAGGGTCCAGAGATTTCTCTGCCTTGCAATATCACCGTATTGAGCTCACTTTTCCAAGCCCGCCAGGATGCCAAGAACACCCAGCTTAGAAATGCACTGAGGGCCTGTGGCTTAGGTGCTTCTCAGGCCTGGTCATGCTTCTCTCCATGCATTTCCTCAGGTGGGCCAGGCTGGCGAAACTCTTTAGGTTCTAAGGTTCTTGCTCCCATCCATTCTTATATTCTCATTATCCGGTTTGCATGGGTCCTGGGCGTGTGCAACCCCATGACTGAGGCAAGCGCCAGTGTCAGGGCCTTGATGGAGGGTAGTCTAGTTGGAGCGCCAGTGGTTGCTCCGAGCTCAGGCGCTGCAACACGCAGCAACACTGATGCCTCCTGACATTGGCATTGACATACAGGACTCGCGAGGGGTCGTTTGCGCAAGGGCACAGGCGAGGGCTGTCCAACCTGAGTTTTGTGTTTGCACTGTTCTTCCAATCCATTATTTGCAACAAGAAGCCTTGGCATCAGCCATTTCTTGCTTCCTTTGCTTCTCCAGCTCGATTCCCAAAGGAGGATGAGTACCTGAACCAAATTCAAGAGCTACAACGCCAAGCTCGTGTCCAAGTTGTAGGAGCCAGCAGACGTGTTCGGCCTACTTTTGTTCACAACGTCAGTAGGCCGAAAGAAGTTCTCGCAAATCTGACGTCATCCTCAGAGATCAGGGTGTCCTGCAACTTCTTTGCGCTGCTCTGGACATTTTCCACAGCATACGCTTTGTGCGTTTGTTAAAAGTAATGGACATAATGGACCGATTCGATTCATGTGCCGCTCTGCAAAGGTGGTTGACAAGGACAACAGGATCCTGGAGTTGTTGAAAGGCACTACCAATGCTCAGTCATTGGCTGCTAGGCAGGCTCAGCGATTTTGTGGGATCCGGTTCCTTGCAAATGCTACTTCCACTCAACTGCTTGCAGCTGGCAGTTCAATCATGAAGACTTAGCTCCTCCATCCAAAGAATGCATAATGTATACAGTTCTTTTTGGTTGGAGCAGATCCAAATGCTGCGGGTTGCTGCAGGGCAGAGAAGACATTGCAGCGAGCCTTGGGAAAGTGGGCACCCTCAGCCGGAGACTCAAAAAGAAAGCACTTGGAGCTTCTGATGGATTCCATGATGCAAACACAATAGATGGATATTCTATGACATTCTAATTATGGTGTTTTGCTTTCACTCACGTCACGTTCCCTACATTAGCGAGGTCTCATGACCATTTGGATCCAACCAGTTCTATTTCATTCTGCTGTAATGCCTTGAGGCCATACCGGTGGAACTACAACGCAAGGGGTCTTAGAGATCATACAACATCATGCAACATACCCGAATTTGCTCGGCTCCTCCTTTGACAAAATGGGTGCTTGGAGTATGCTGATTTGAATTTATGGAGACTTGACTTAACTTGATCCAGTTGCAGTATTTGGTTGTCAACGGCCGGGTCATGCAGCACAATACTGTGCTGTTGCTGGCAACTCCGACTTTAGGGATGACGGATATTGACGGATGATCACCAGCCCATGCAGATGACTGGGGAATGTTCCGAGACTCAAAACCAGGTGAAGCATTCCAAGCATGGTCTGCACACACCCGTTCCGGTGCCCTGGCGCGTTTAGAAGCCGCAACTACAAAGGACAGGAACTTGTGTTGCACTTGGAGTTGCAGGCATTTGCTGTTTCATTTCAATTTACTGTAACAAGTATTAGTTGGCTCCTTGCTGCAATTACCCCGCCAGGTGAGGTGCAACAAAGGAAACAAGAAGCCGAGTTTCAAAAGCGGCTTGGGAGGCAAGAGGGTCAGGGGTAAAGGATGCAGGCAAGCTCTAGGGGTGCTCCAGGAAGAACAATTGTTGTTGTGTTTGTTGCAATGTATGCAGCATCGCCGTAGCTTTTGCTAGCACTATGTTTGGCTCAAAAGAGGGCCGCGCAACACAACTGCGAATTGAACATGAATGGCCCACTTGGCCAACATCACGCCCATGCAGTGGTGGTGCCACGTATTTGGTTGCACCAAGACTGTGGTTAGTTGCAAGCACAGCTGGAAACCGGGCTCTTCTGTATAGACACCAAACCCACTCACAACCTGATCCATGAGCCTTCCTGGCGATGGTGATACAGAGGCTCTTCTTCCCGCAAGGCACGATGCAAGCATGAGCATGGGCTGATAGATACTAGCCCAACTGATGTGAAGTATTCCCGAATACTCTATGAACATCGGACGAGCATTACCCAACCAATATATAACAATCTATATATGTATACAGATGTGTCGACTGGTGTGTCCAAAGCCTGGCCAGGACACCTGCCGTAGCGTGCAAGCGCTTTGGACTCTACGCTGCGCTTTCTGCGCTTTCGTGCGCACTTGTGGCGGGTCTCGGCTGGCAGGACTCTTGTCCTTCAATGTGCAGCTGTGGTCATAAGCTGTGTGTGTGTGTGTGCAATGAGGCAGATCGATGATATATGGTAGTGTAGTGCCACGTGGGTGTGTGATGGTTTTAACATGTTTTATCGCATGATCACTTGCCATGAGATTCGCAAGGTCATGGTCACATGCATTCACAAGGTGTCCGCTCCAAGCCCCCATGCGGCAAATGTCGACTATTTGTCAGAAAAGTTCAAGCTGCTGGATGCATGGAGATTGACCCCTGGATGTTGGCAAATTTGTGTGTTATTTCATGTTAAAGCTCTTGCATTAGAGATGCTATGTTTGTGAAACTTGACCCATGCTATGTGTTTGAACCATTAATTACCATTGAACAAGTGGAACCACACCCTTGTTCCGTTTTCTTGCCGTTCTGTCGTGCATGAATTGACTCCACACAAGTAAACGACCCCGGGGCCCCGACCTGCATAGCCGGGCGCAGCGATGCCCAGGATCTCGGGGGCCCAAAGTGACCCCTTCACTTTCCGATGTCCCATGACCATTTTTCAACGTATGGCCGCTGCTGCGCTGGTGGGGCGGAAAGCTGCAGGCCGGTTTCGGAGACCGCCTCCAAGAGCCCAGGTAGGTAAAAACAAACATGTTAGACAAGGCGAGATGTGAAGCCGCATGAGAGACCACTTGGGAGCTGGGCCTTTTTCTCACCCCTTCTTGAGGTGATTGCTGCAAGAGCTATGATGCTGTGCCAATGCTTTGGCCATACCAGTTTCCCGAATGCGGCCGAAGTTGGTGTCCCTCTTGCTGGAACAGCAGTGATGTGAAGTCGCTGCCAGTTCACACCTTTGCGGCCTTGGGATATGCAGCCTCCTTGGCTGTGAGCAGTCCCAAGGCGACTCGGAGATTGACATGTCCCGAGATGTCTGACCGAGTGAGAAGGGGCTGCATTCATCAAAGAAGAAAGCATAAGAAAGTAATTTGATTGATAGATCTTTATTGCGTTTAGATCCCAACAGTTTTGGGTTGTTTGGGCTTTTGGGCTGGGTTGGCTTCGCATTCTGGAGCGACCCTAGGCTTTAAAGCCTCAGGGCACCGAGCGGCGCTTGGACATCACGAGGCTTGGAAATCACCATAGGGGGTCAATCGCAAGATGGCATGTCTCCACTGGAGAGTGCCGAATCTGTTGGAAAGAAGCAACATGTGCGCCGTTTTTCATGCAGACATTGTGTTGGAGTTTCTCCATGCATTGCAAGCGGCTGGTGGTTTACCCCGCGTCTAGGCGGGGCGCATGTGACCGGTGGCCAGGCACGCTGGAATTGCTTCCAACAAAATGCTCGCCAGAGCGAAGCATGGCTTCCGGGAACGTGTGGTAGATCTTTGCCCACGTATCAATGATTGGGAGGAGCTAGCTGGCTAGCTGGCTGCACTGTGGGGTGTCCATGCCTTGCATGCCTTGCAAAACGTGGCCAGCAGTGTCTTCAAATGGTTCACTTGTTCACCTGTCGTCCTGTTCCGCATGGTGCAGGAGTATTACCTGAATGATGATGCAGAGAATGTCCATGCACGAGTCTACAAGTCTTCTCAAGCACAGGTGGCCGTGGTGTCCTTTCGTGGGACGCAGGCCTGGCCCCGTCGCCGAGGGGCGTTTGGTCGATCGCCAAGGTGGTGACTGGATGTTATTCGGAATGTTTGCATGACATTTGTTGATGGTGATTACAATGATTGCTTTTGATTGCTTTTTTGGGAGTGATTTGCTTCATTTTGCTCCATAATTATCATGGATCATGTGACGAATCATGTGTGACTCATAGCCATCTCACTGTCGTTGTCACTCAGATTTCACGACAGGCCACCTCTGCACAGAATTGGGAGATTGACTCCGACATCATCATGCTTCCAGTAGAGCTTGGAGCTCCCGGACAGCACAAAGCAGCAACTTGGTGAATGAAGCACTGCTGAGTCACGATTCACTTGGAGTTTGGTTTGGTGCCCCAGGAAAGCATCCTCCCGTCCATCTCTTCTCTTATCAAAATGGAGGGGACCCCTTCAGAGTCAGGACCCCTCACCCGGAAAGGACACGAGGATCAAAATACCGAGGCATCCTCCACTGCCAACGTCCATGAGGGCTTCTATCTTGAGCTGCAACGAGTGCTGCCACACGTGCGCAAGTGGGTAGAGGGATACATCGAGGGCACTAAGGTGCGGACACAGTGGGCACGATGCACAGCTCAGGTGACGGATTGGCAAGCTTACTTTTGATTCTAAGAGCGCCTATGTACCCCTACAGCCTTGTGCACGTGCTGCTTGCACTGCGTTCCTGTGAAACGCCAGGGCCTGTTTGGCATCCCCAGCTACTGGAAGCTTGTTTTCACTGGTCACAGTTTGGGCGCAGCGCTGGCTATCCTTGCCGCCACCTTGGCAGAGGCGACATGGGCGCACCTGAGAAGAGAACGTTAGAACTGGATGGCACCCCTTTGAGGTCATTGTTTCTTTTGGAAAGGGTCCAATGGCCAACCCTGCCAACATGTGACGGTCACCCCCATCAGGCAGAGGGCTGGGCACGCACACCGGATGCAGTGGTGGCGTTCGGCGCCCCACGCCTGGCAGATCAAGCTCTTAGCACCCCGCCGAGTTGGTGAAACTTTCACTTTGCTAAGCAGACTGGAAGCGGAAGCAGGGATGGAGCAAAAGATTGGAGACGAGAGGAACAGAGATGCCGGGAGAGCTTAGGGGTTTGGTTTGAGGCTGTTTTTTGTGGAATGAGATGTGCCCCGAGCGAACCAGGTCCCTGAGGATATCTCACAGTTGCTCAGGTGACTGGTGGGAATCTCGAGATTTGTGTGGAAAGATTCTGAGAGTCGCGGTGCAGAACGATGTCATCACCTGGATGCCTTTTGTGGAACCACTTCAACTGATGGAAGCTTTGAAATCATTGGTGGTCCTTTCGATAAAAGACATGGCACACCATGGCAGCAACACGTCCAAGTGATTGTAGACCTGCTTTGAATACTGAGGATATTGTGAGCTACTGCTTGGAGAACCCCATGAGCTGCCTTGGTCAACTGGCCAATGGCCCCAAGTCCTTGCACCCGAGCGAGAGGCCCGAAATGCATCAAGTCAAGGTGACAATCGCTCTGCAAATTTGCAGGGCAGAGAGGCAGAGAAGGGCCATAAAGCATCACTCGGACCAGAATATAAAATGTTGATGTGCTTGTCCACCCAGTTGCCCCAAAGATCCCCCAAATGTATGCATAGAAAGGTTCTAACATGTTTTTAACTATGTAGCTACGCAAGTGTTTCGTAAAACGCCACGCAGATGGGCCCACGTTTGTCCGAAGAGTGAGCTGCTTGTGCCTGGCGCCATGAAGGGAATCAACTCACAGATGAAGGACAGTGGGATGGCTGGGACACGGGGGGGGAAGTATGCTGAGGCTGAGGTGTGGTGATGCTAAACATTATAGTTGAAGTATGTTGAAGTGGATACATGGCAGGCAATAGTAGATGTGCATATTACAATCAACATGGAAGGGCTGCATCACAAAACTGGATATATCATGTGCGCTTGGTACGATGATGATAAACTACAGCAACAGACGTTCAGCATAATTCAATGACTGATAACCTTTCAATCCCCATTTCAATGTTTTGCAGTGGGTGGGTTGCTGTGAGAAATGGCGAAGGCATATGTAGTGCGACAGCATACTGCTAAACGCATGGTTTTGTGAAATGACTAAACTGAAGACAATAGCTCCTCAAGAAGCGCTCAATCCTGGACTAAACCTATATAATAACATCAGCAGCCACATGTTTTCACATTTAACATATTGCGTTTCAGAAGAAGCATCAATGATCATCATAATAATCATCGTCATCAACTAAAGAAGCTACAGCACAAAAGGAGGTGTGCAGTTTTGAGAAACAGGGAACATGGATAACGGCGGCAGGCAGCTCTTGCAATCAGATGCATACATTTAATGACACAGAATATGGTTAAACTTTAGTTGAGAGAAGTCAACAGTAGCAATTATGAAAGACGTTGAACTTGGTGGAATGTCAACCTTCTACGGAATGTTATGAATCAATGAGCCGCAAGTATACAGCAGATATGATTTACACAAATATATCACAATATATCAATAGAATGATATATACAGCATATTTAAGGGCTTACGCCCGACAGCCGGCCAGGGGCCCAAGCAAAGGGGAGTGTTGTTGTTGTGGTTGTTGTTGTTGTTGTTGTTGTTGTGGTTGTGGTTGTGGTTGTGGTTGTTGTTGTGGTTGTTGTTGTGGTTGTGGTTGTTGTTGTTGTTGTTCTGGTCGTTGTTGTTGTTGTTGTTGTTGTTGAGGTTGCTCTTGTTGTGGTTGTCGTGGTGGTAGTTGTGGGTGTGAACGTAGGCCCCGCAGCCGCCACGATGCAGACGAAGCTCCCCAATGCGGCACGCATTTCCAGCATTATTGGGTCCTATTTTCGGCTTATGTTAGCCCATGTTAGCCCATCTGGAGCCACAAAGACGGAAAAGTGGAAGAAGCAGAAAACACTGTAAAACACACGATTCTGCATGGTCTGTTGGGGGGTCGGCGGTAGGGGCGGGACTCCACTCTCTCCTTCGGAGAGGAGAGACTGCCTACGGCAAAGACACGGCCAGGCCCCTGGCCGGATTTATGAGGCTTACGCCTGACAGCCGGGCGCCGGCCAAGCAGGGTGAGGGTTTGTGTTCAACGGTTTCGCTCTTGGCCCTAGGTTGGGCCAAGTTGAGCCCATGTGGTCTATGTTAGGCACATCTTGGGCCCAAGTTGAGCCTATGTTGGGCCTAGGTCGGCCTATGTTAGGCCTATGTTGGCCTATGTTGGGCCTATGTTGGCGTATGTTGGCCCCATGTTGGCATATGTCGGCCCTATGTTGAGCCATCTTGGAGGCTATGTTGGGCATATGTTGGCTATCTTGGGCCTATGTTGGGGAAATGTTAGGCAACTTCTGTGCCCAACACCCACGAAATGTCGATTAAGCCTGTCCGCGCGGCACGCATAACCGACACCACCAGTGCCCTGTTAGACGGAAGTCATGTCCGCCGAAGGCCACGAAACACTGTAAAAAACGATGTTTTCCACATCATGCGCAATCATGCTGGTAGATAAAATATAAATAACATAAAAATCCGTCAAAAATCTGTCGACACGCTTCGGGCGGGGGTATACACGCGGTCCAACAAAAGGGTCGGCGGCAGGGGCGGCGAGCGTATATAACCTTCGGTTACCACCGAAGGCCTCCGGCAAGGACACGGGCCCGTGGCCGGCGCCCGGATTGTAAGGGCTCCGCCCCCTGCCGCCGACCCCGGGGATAAGGCACGAGATCGCCGACGGTGGCAAATGTATAGGAATGGAAGTAGCAGCTAGTAGCATACAACAGTGCAGATGCACACGACATCGGTCACGGTGGCAAATTTAGAGGAATGGAGGTAGCAGCAAGGAGCATACCACAGTGCAGACGCACACGACATCGGTCACGGTGGCAAATTTAGAGGAATGGAGGTACAACAGTGCAGACGC